ATATTGATTGATTTATCTCTAGACTTTACTGAAACATAGTTTATAGCTATAGTAAAATATATAAAAAATGAGTAGGTCCCTAGATCATATTTTGTATAAATTGAGCAAGCCTATTATTAAAATCAATTCAAATAAGAAGTTAAACTTAATCTGTAAATTGCTTTTTTACTGACTTATAGGCTATCATTCTAATGATTGAAAATTATATAAAGATCTCAAAAAAGAAGAATATTAATTTCTATTTAAAAAGTTTGTGAATGGTTATATAATCAGAATAAGTGATAAAAGTATATTTTGTCACTAAAAAATATCTTATGGATAAGTTATAGAAAAATTTCATATCCAAACTATATATATATGTGGGATTTGTTATGTCTTATAAAGAACACTATTAATAAAAAGACATATAAATAGGCACTTACTGTCATAAACATTGCATTTCATTTTAAATATGCTGTTCCTCTAATTTCAAAAAACAGTTTAGAGATAGCTAAGGTATTTAAGAAAATTTATGACAATCCAAATATCCTTCTTACCTGGTTCAATTTATTATAATCAGATAATGGTAGAGAATTTATGAATGAAACTTCAAAAATAATGAAAATGCATAATGTTATAATCTGAGTTATAGGTCAGTACTTTCATCAAGGACTTGCAATTATAGACAGGTTTTGTAAAACATTGGCAGAGATATTATACAAAGTTCAATTAGCTATTGAAAGTATATCTGAAAATCCTAAATTAATAAGAGTATGGATTAAACATTTATCAAAAGTTCTTGAATATTTGAATAATTATCTATCACAACTTATATGAGTGCCAGGATCAAAGAAATAGAGATTAGCACCCATTAAGACAATTGAATTGGATAGAGTAAAGTCTAGACTATTTACAAAATATAAATATTCAATTGGTAAAGATAAAGAAAAATTAAAAAAGGAAGATATTATATGATACTTACTTGCTAATACGAAGTGGAAAGAAGATATAGAAAATTAAAAGTATGCAATAAATAAAAGTTGAAGCCCTTCTTTACATAAAATCTACAAAATTGTGATAACAAAAAATGAATCAGTTTTATATTATTTAGATAAATAAAATGTCCCATCTAAAAATAGGTTTCTAAAGGGGGAGACAGAGACAAAATTCAAATGTTCCTTACTAGAAAACATTAAAATTTTTAAAATAATAACTATTAAAAAACCACCTACAATTGTTCTCCATTATTCAAATTATTGATTTATAATATTTCTTGACTTTTGTCTCTATTAAAGTGAAGAGTTATAAATTTTTTCCTTAAAAAAAAATATAAGTGATCCACAAAATTTTATATGTTAAATACTTTAGGGATCCATTATTAGTCTCATCATATGGATTTATAAGGAAAGAGCTCATGTAACATGAGTATTAATATGCTTTAGTATCTGTTCCAGAGTATATTAAAGAAAAATACTTATTTCAGGTCTATTAATTTTATCTGTATTATTAATAAAATAACTAAGGTGCAAGCTTATGTTGATAAGCACAATGGGATATATTTTAATAAATCTAATCAGATAAATAGTTACAATGTTATTTCTGGATATATGGACTTCATCAATAGTATACATCTTATAAAATCCAGAATTAAAAATTTGAATAGTACCCAATTTGTTTTTATTATGCTAATAAGAGGTGTTATAGATATACTGTATATTTAAATATCTATTAGATAAAAAATTTCTATTCTGTAAACTGCTGTTTTTAGATGGGATGAAATTAAATGGATATAATGAAGAACTAAAATTAGCATTCGAATTTCAGCAGTCACAATATTTTTCTAAGAATTCAATATTTCATAAACGAGTCAAGATAGACTTAGATAGTCAATAAACTTGTGACCAAAAAAAATAATATATATGTAAAAGAGAGAGTATAGATTTTATTGAAATACTATATACATATGACTTATTCCCCTATATCAAAAATGAATTACTTAAAAAAGGGTATTTAAAAAATACAGGTATTAATGAATATGATAATTAATGCTATATTATTGGTTAATAATATTATACCCTGAATTCAATTGCGATGGGATATTTGGATACCTTACTATTGATATCAATAAAATGTCCTTGAAGATATATTATGATTTATTAGTAATATCATAAGGAATATTCAATAAAATCTTTTCATATTCTTTCTGTATTACACATATTAACCATCCAATATGTATTAATCAATCACATTTACCATTATATCTAGTACAAAAAAAGAAATAAAAATCATCTAATACAATATTGATTGCTATTCTTTGATCTGCAATAATTTTTTAAAATAGTTATTGATCTCTCTCTACTTCTGAAAAATGAATCCCATCATGTTTTAAATCTATAAATTCAAAAAGTTGTTCATAAAGTTCAATCATTTTTATATTTGTTATGTAATATATAGTATTTAATTTATAAATAAAAAATAATAAACAATTTTGTTTAAGTATAAGTAGTAATCCGTGTCATTATTTTTTGATATAATAATTATTGACTTAGCTTGATCGAGATAAAAATAGAAAAGCTTGACCCTGTTGAAAGGATGGTTTTGAATATTGATGAATACAAAAATATAGAGAGATTTAACAGTTTTAATTCCATATCTCAATAGCCTTTCAACTTATTGATTTCAGAGCGAACCAGATAAAAAAAAATTAACAATGTTATCACCTTTTACTTGAAAATAAAATGTATTGATTGTTTAGTGAAAAAAAAGGTAAAACGAGATATATTAAGAATAATAATTTGATTTTGATTGGTTATTAAATTAATGAGCCCAAGTATAAATATCTGTGAGATTACTATAAAATAATTGTGAACAGTTCTAAACAATATCATAAAGTTGTTATATTCTGAGTAATAAAACCTGATAAAATGTCAAAAGTCGATGATTTCTTTCCTAAAAGAGGAACAGTTTCTATATTTAAAGATATGTGTACTGAACCTAAAAAAATACAAGAAAAACTTGCTCGTTATTTTACTAAAAGGCATCATAAAACCATTAGTAATATATATATTACACAAAACTTTTTCAACTGTTCAAAACTAATAAGAAAAAATTTCAATTACATTGTTCTCTTTAATGGCAGTGGGATATATGATGAACTAGTTAACATTGTCTAATGATATACAAAAAGATGGTGCTATGTTGTCGATATATTCGATAAAAATTTGTAAGGTAGGAAATTTATTGTTATTTATTTAACAAGAACAAGAGGGTTCACTCTATATTTGCAAAGGATAGAACCAAGCTCTTGATCTTTCTAATGAATAGAGTGTAATTCACAATGATAAAATAATAATAATTTTTTTCATTATTTATTAATACAACAATATAAGTATTGCAAAACAATAGACTATGCCCCACATCCTACTTGCCACTTCTTATATAATTAATAAGATGCATGTATCCAGCCCATTGTTGAAATTGAGATGGATGTTTTTAATATCTTATTCACTACTATTCTCCAATAAAATAGCTATCAGTATCCGGTCTGATTGAGATTGAAGTAGATGTTGAAAAATAAAAAATTCTAGTTGTACTGAGGGGGTTTTTTGTGTCAGATAAAATAAAACTAAAGTAAAAAATGTTACTGACCATCAAGATAACGAAATAAAGTCTAAAGTACTATGCTTTTATTTCTAAAAGTCGCTTTTGGAATCTAATCTGTAATTGACTCTTTTTAGAACTTATCCAATTAACTGGAATATAATATTTTTCATATTGTCTATTAATAATGGAACTGTGCATCATAGAATCGTTTTTATATAATTCAACCCATTTACTACGCCATTGATTAAATTGTTTCCGAGTCTGAGGATTTTTCACTTTACGTCTTGTTAAACCTAGAAATTTCTTATCATTAGAAGTACCATCATCTCTCATTGCATTCCAAGCTTGGGTTGCTAATGATTCGAGTCTATTCTTATAATTTCAATAAGCTATTTGTATAATTCTTGTTTTTCCAAAATTAGTCTTTGATTTATTGCATTTGTAATCCCAATGTTCCTACATTAGGTCTTTAGGTTCGAGACAATCAACATACCTCTGTTTAGTAAAATGGAATATTTTTTTAGGATTCACATTATCGATTTTTATGAGTTTCCAGCAACCAAAACAGATAGCCATATGGCTTTTATGAACCCTTGGTCTGTAATAATCGAAATTGACAAATTTACCTTTACCAAATGACATAAATAAACAATATCGATGATATACACTAAATTTTCCAGCGGTTAATAAATTCTGTAAAAACATCCAAAATGTTTAATCAAATCCGATTTAAATTGCTTAGACTGATGCCTGGGATCATCGAACATATGTTTACAGTATTTATCTACCACTGTTTCTGATTCTCTTGCCAATATTTTGTCAATATCAAAAAATCCACAACAGTTTCCCCTAAACTATTCGTAAAACACAGTGGATTAAAAACGCGCTGGTAACCCTGAAGATTGATACCACTTGCAACGATTTTGGTTGTTTCTTCAGCAATGTGAAGTTTATCACTCGGGTGGCGCAGAAATGTCTAGTGTATACTGTGTCCTTCTAACGGCTTCTCTTGGACCCTCACATGTCGGTAAATACATTTCACTTGAGACCAGAGACGACGACAGTGGTGACGAAAGTGTTGATTAAAATTGGGTCCAGCGAGAAACACGCCCATAAGGCAAATTCTTTCCACAATTGTTTGTGTTCTGGAGATTCTTTGGAATGAATATGCTTCACTCGATCCGCCAGTTCATCTAGAATAAAGATCTCTGATTCGAGCAAACACATAAATTCTCGAGGTATCTCAGAAAATGATGGAATTTCTTGGATGGTTTTGGGGGTAAAGACTTTTTTACGATATCATCCTTATATAAGTTTTCCTGAATTGCATTCGAAAGTATTTCGAGATGGCCGGTAGATAGCACAGCAAAGTCGATCGTATAAGTACCAGTTTTTATGGCATTGGATGGAAGTAAACCCTAGCTGAGTAACCGTCGAACAACTTGTCTCTGCTGTCTCTTCTCAAGAAACTTTTCGAGAAAGGTAAACTGGAGATTCAAAAAGGCGGTTGGTTGTAAAATTTTGCTCGGTTTAAGATCGCTGGCAAGAAAATCTTCGGAAATCCATTGAGATACGATATATTGACGAGTTTCATTTTCCGTTAACTGGCGAGTCTCCAACTGAGTTTTATGCTTTAAAATAGCAATAGAGGATATAGATTGTCTCTAGACGAAGCCACATAATTCGAAGAATTATCTAAAGGTTTGCTTCATGATAAAATATGAGGCGGATAAACATACAAATTATTTCTCGTCTCGTAGCTCAGCGGTCTATGACAAAGCCATGAGTCTTTGACTCTAAACCACTGTAAGCCTGTGTGATCTTTCTCTCCTCACTACGCCAACGATAGTAATTTGACGATCTCATCTTATAATACCATAAAAAAAATATCCTATAATCACTAAATATACCCTTTAACTTACCTTTTTCGAATTATAGAGAATCTCGGTTCTATCGTCGCCTCGGTCGTCTTCGTTATCGTTGCTAGTATTGTGAGTAGAGAAGCTTTTTTCATTTATTACCGCATTGGTACGTTTTCCGAGTTCCGCTTTTTTGGCATATCGTACCAACTTCTTACGCTGATTCCGTTTATATGCCTTTGAAGGAGTCGGTCCATTTCGTTTACTGGTAGACGCGTCCATTACTTGCTTGGAAACGTGGAACAAAAAAGTTTACGGGTATTATTAATAGGTAGGAAATACAAAAGCGACGCCACCCAACGAACCGTCTCACGATGTGAGGAGCCGAGTCCTGCTCAAATCGAATAGCGTTACTTTCTCGATATTTTGCAGAGAAGAAAAAAAAGAAAGAAGCGTCGATATACATACATGATATCATATATAAATAACGCATCGTCGGATACGAAAAACTTGATCCAATCATAATATTGCTAATCTATAATGATCAACAAAACTTTTTCTATACTCAATTCACTATTAGAATAATCCATTTCAAGTGCACAAATTTTCGTAAACATGTCGACTTCCGCTCACGTAACCAACGGTAAGTTTACTTTCTTAGCACGCTCTATTTGCAACTCTAATTTCTAAAGTTCCTTTTTATACTGTTAGGAATCTCGTTAGATGATCCTGATTTCTTTACTTTGGACCGCGAGTGGACACTGTTAAATTTTCTATTATTTCGACAAAAGTGTTCTGATTTCCGTGCTGACAAACGTGACGAGCACAACCGATATACTCGTAGCCTTATAGTATACTCAGCCACGAACGAACATCCCCGGAATTGACTAAATTGGCTATAAACGCGCTTAATTTATTACAAGTTAAGTATTACTTTTTGTTAACAGTGGACGGGTCTGAAATGGCAATAGCCTTTTTGGATGGGTTACGATCTGCGTTTAACTACCCTACGTCCTTGATTGCGATCGGGGATCGTTATTTGCGACTCAGGGGTTCCGTCCTGCCTAAATGTGGTCAACCACCTAACATTCCTGATTGCGATCGGGAATGTATGAATTGCGATTCGGGTGGTTATTCCTGACCAAATGTGTTCAACCACCCAACATTACTGATTGCGATCGGGAATGCATGAATTGCGATTCGGGTGGCTGTTCCTGACCAAATGTGTTCACCACCCAACATTACTGATTGCGATCGGGAATGCATGAATTGCGATTCGGGTGGATGTTTACACATTTAATTGGTCTCATTAATATCTATTACTTCTGATCGTAATTGGGAGCTTGTGAATTGAGACTCGGGTGATTCTGTTTCTTACCAATTTAGTTATTTTTTTTTTTAATAGAATGAAAAAAAGTCAAGTTCGATTAATAACTTTTGGGAGAAGGTTACGTTAGCGCAAGAGAAGAAAGTGGCAAATGAAATCGAACGTTCAGTTTTGTTGGTATGAGATATTCTGGCAATATAACAAGGTACACAAAATGTAAACACTAACTTGTCTATTATAACAGGATGAACTCGCTACATCCGCTGTACACTCAACCCTTCAACGTGATAGACAAGAAAGTTTGATTCGAGAGAAAGTTACAAGACTTTAGAGAATATAGATGATGATCGCACATACAAGCGTCACAGGTCACAGTCTCCGAACATTGAGGTAGTTATATTGTTGAATGGTCAGCGTTTAATATGAAAATTACTTCTTACCTTTCCCATCTCCGACGTGTTTATCAGAATGATAAAAAGGAAAATGACACAGAAGCGATTAATAACGAACAAAATTTAGATGAAAAACGAGTTGAGGTAGGTTTCTATAAATGATTAATTGTACGAAACATCTTTCTAACTCGTTTGTTATGACGTTCTTTAGGAAGAATTTGTGAAACGGTATAATTTGAGAGAACGACAAGAGATCAACTATGCCGAAATTTCATGCTCAGATATAGATCCATATCATGTAATTATTCTTACTACTTTTTTTTGCACAATAAAGAATATACAATTCTCATTCATTTTTATTTTGTTGTTTTGAAATCTATCAAGCATCAAGCATTTGACCCCCTGCCAAACAATCCGGATTCTTCTGTTATTTCGTTAAACAGGTCAATCATAACGGAAGCAACATATAACCTGATTTCTACACATATAATTTGCGCATTCAGCTCAACGTTACATTTAGTCAGGGAAACCGTCGATGAAAGTTTATTTGAGAAGATTGAAAAGCTTCTTAGAATGAAAAATAAATTGATTTTAGACAAATCGATCCCCAACCCCAGGTTAGCACTTGAAAAAAGATTAAAAAAGTGATTTACAGTGACCAAAGCCTATTCAAGATCCAAAATGATAGAGTAAATCACATGGACATTGAAACTTGGGAAGAATCTATTATCAAAGAAAATATTAAAGAAGGAGTATATCAAGATCATCTGATAACTATACTTCAATGTAATCTTGAATCTAAAAAAAAGCCAATCTTCTATTCTGATGGATCACTTATTAATCATGGTAAAGAAATGAAGATGGGAGCAATTCTAAAATTTTTACCGATTGAATGGAACAATCTCACTTTGCACAAAATTATTACTGAAATCAAAGGGTTGATTCTAGATGATCCAATAAGGTAGTTTATTAGGAACATTAATAATATGACAACAGCTTATTAGTAGACACAACAAAATAGAATGAAGAAAAAATGGAGTTATCAGATTTCAAAACACTAGGCTTATACATGGAATATAGTATAGAAAAGAGTTAAAGATAGATGCATATGGAATAAATCTTTTAAACAATCCCAACAATAAAGCTTTTTATTAAACTGGCCAATAATGAGCTACCTACCTTAAGTAAGTTGGCTATAAGAAGACTGGATCTATACAAGCAAGTAAGATATATTGCATATAATCAACAAAATAAAACTATAAAACAAATTTCTAGAATGTTCAACCTATAAGAACCAACTAAAAGAGGTATGGAATAAAAAAGTAAATGAAATAATCAGAAACTTTAAAGAGTTACTATGGAAAAAAAAGAGAAAGACTAAAGAGAAAAATTTCAAGTTGATCATCAATAACCAAGAAGAAATAGAAGAATTTAACAAGTGGATCTTTAAAATAATAGAACAGGTTTTTAAAACTAGCCAAAATATGTCAAGCTTTTGTACAGACCTTATAAGAACAAATATTATCCTAGAAATAATAGTCCTAAAATATTAAGGTAAATATATAGGAAAAATAACAAGAAAGTGAATAAGAAAAATGTAAAAAAGAGTCTATAATCAAGTTTGAAAAGAAGTCTGAAATAAAAAATATGAAAAGGTAATTGAATGGAAACAAACACAAGGAATTGATAAAGAGAACAAAACAAGAAGATCTCAATATCTATCAAGCCAGAAAACTAGGCTCCTGAAGAAAAGAGACCCATTACTTGAAAAAGAAAATCTCGAAGATGAAGATCTCTGAGAAATCTTAAAAAGAAGAGTGAAGTATAGAATGAAATGATTGAGATTTAAACTCTGTCAGAACCTCACAAAGTGATCTGTAGTAGTGATCTGCAAGCAATAAAGTTAATAGTTGAAAGAGTCTTTACCTGAACTACTAATTGAGTGATAAATTACTTCCAAAGTTATACTTAGAGTTTTAATAATTTTTAAAATAGAGATAAATAAGTTAAGTAGAGACTTAGTTTTAGTAATACATTTTTCAATATAAAGTATACATATATATAATAAAGCATACATACCTAGCCTAATAGAGGGTAATAAAAAAAATTAAACATATAGTTTGAAAGAAATTTTAAAATATAAAAAAAAATAAAAAAAAATAAAAAATTAATAATTAAATTTAAAAGATACAAAAATTATCAAATATAAAAAATTAAAAAATAAGAATTAAATTAAAAAAAGTATATAAATAGGAGAAATTTGAATAACAATAAAAAAGTTAGAAGAAAAAAGTGAAAAACGAAAAAAATTTAGTAAGGTAAAATTATTTAAAACTAGTTTTAAAAAAGATAAACCAAAATCTTTAAAAGGAAAAAAATTTTGATAAAGAAAAAAAAGAAAAACAAAGAAAGTAATTAATAATTTAATCAATTAATTTTATTATTTTTTATATAATTTTTTAATAAATTTCTTAAAATTTGTCAAAATTCCTAAATACTTATCAAATTTTAATATTGAATTTATTTATTTTTTTATCTAACTCTCTATCAAACTAATTATGTATGCTTTATTAAATAATTGTAAGCTATATATTATATATATATTATTAAAGTTAAATTTCTAACTAATTTACTCGTCAAAGTTTTATATTTATCTAGGACTCTAAGTGCAACTTCAAAAGTGATTTATTGCTTCATTAGTAGTTTAGGTAAAAACTCTTCCAACTTCTAACATCATAACCTGCAAATTACTGTATGAGGTTCTGACAAGAATCAAAACTCAACTACTTAATCTTATATTTAATCTCATTTTTTATAATTTCTACAAGATTTTTGTTTTCACTTTCTTTTTCTTCTTCTCTTTACATTGTACTTTTGTGACTAGAATTATCTTGCAGGTCTTGCCTTCTTACTTCCTGAATATTTTTATATTTTGCTCTTCTATAAATTCTTTGTTTTTGTTCCTATTCTATGATCTTTTTACATCTTATATTCCAGACTTGTTATGGATCTAGTTGTAAATCTTCTTTTGTATTTTTAAAATCTATTTTTTATCATTGTTCCCAGCTTCTTTTTATGACAATTTAAGTTAGTGCTTCTTTAATTACATTATTTTTTACTAATCCTATGCAAAAGTTAAGAGTACTCGAACTAGTTTATGAGGCCAATTCTATTAATCTTAAGGTCCATTTATCTAATTTACCTTTTTCTTTTCTATTGTCGACTACTAGTTATACCATTTTTTCATCTACTTCTCTCTTATGTTCTTAATATAACTTGTCAAATTCTTTTAAAAAAATCTCAAATCCTTTTTGCCATGCCACTAAGATCTCAATATTATAACCAAAACATTCTAATAAATGTTCTATTATTTCCTGATACTGATTATATACTATATATCCTGCTTGCTTATATAGGTCTAGTTTTCTTATTACTAGCTTACTTAAGATAAGTAGTTTATTATTGGTCAATTTAACCAAAAAGCTTCTTCTTTGTGAGCTTTTAAAGGAGGTATCCCATGTATTTCCATCCTTTAACCTATCTTATATCAGATTCTATGAGTAGATTTGATGCTTATAAACTTGGTGATACCATTTTGTCTTTGTTCTATATTGTTGTATCTATGATAGAGCTATTGATCTTTTATTAATTTGTTTAATGAACTGTCATATTGTACTATCTAACACTTCTTCTTGTTACATAGTTTCTGTAGATATCTTGTTTGATTTGAGACTCTTCTATTCTATTGCTAGTAGCTTTAAAACTTCTTTGATCAGTTGATCTACTTCTTCATTTTATGGATCATTAGAGTAGATTTTAACCTAGGTCAATATTAGTTAAATATGCTTTTTCTTTACAAGATCTAGCATTCTCATCTATAATAATCAATTCTTTTCTTTTAATCATCTTTTATGTATCATCTTTGAATCTTCTTTCTCTAGCTTTTTCTATTTAAAAATACAGACTTGACTATCTGTAAAGATTTTAACTATACTATCTATCAGAGTTACTAAAGTTATTATAATCAATGTCACCAGTTCTGTCCTTGTGGATAAGGGCCAGTTTTTGACTTCTGTCTAAAATTTATATTCTTTTCCAGCTTCTTCTGTTTGTATTTATGCTACATCTATTTTTATATTTTTGTTTCTATAGTCGATTAAGGATCTGTCGAAGTAGAAGATCAGCTTTTCCTATAATCCTTGATTGTATTGGAGAATTTCAAGTAGGTAATTTTGATATACTACTTGCTTAATATTGTCTCTGAGTATTTCTTGTTCACAATATTCTATTAATACTTGTTCTATTTTTTCAATTTGATCATTTATTGGATCTTAAATTTCTGGAACTATACTCTTTATTATTATACTATTTAGTTCCAATAGGAAACAAGGAACTTTAAGTAATTGCACTCTTCTAATATTTTTTTGATGGTTTAAAAATAGTATAGTATAGACAAAATCTTATTCTATTTCTATAATACATTCATTTCTATTTTTATTATTTAGTGAGTATCCTATGCATTTGGTAAGGACTGTTTCTAAACTATCTTCTGTTGCCTAATAGTTGAAATAATGAATTATTGTAATACCTTGACTATTCTTTTGAATCAGTTTTCCCCATATTATTTGTTAATTCTCTTTCTGGGCAACTATCTAGGCTTTCTTTCTTTTATCTTTGTTAGAATCAGATTTAATGTATTTTGATAGTCACTTTTCTTCCCATCTCTTTTTTCAAAGTGTTGTGAAATCTTTTATACTTTCTTTAGTTATGGTTTTTTATAAAATATCATACCATCCTATGATAAGGCCTTTGTTAGTGTATTGGATAAGTTAAATTATTCTTAACTTTTTGAATTTTGTGGAGTTTTAATTTATTAGCTGATCTATATACAGTATATTAACCAGCTATTTAACAAAGATGATATTGCCATTCTATATTCTTCTACTGTTAAGTATTCTTGAATTGAACTATTTTTTTTGATCTATTTGAAAATATCATTTCACTTTTAGCTCTGAAAAGTTAGTCTCAAGTCCTTAGTCAACTTTAGAACTTATAATGTAAATTTCTTTTATCATTGCAATGACTTAGAAATTCACATAAAAGAAGATTATAGAACTTTCAGTACTGAATCTGCACTTGTTTCAACTTGATAATTATAGTAAGTCCTACTGAATCTTGATCATTTATTCTATTACAGAGTCTGGTTATTTGGCTTTTTTTTTTAAGCATCTATATACTTTTAAGATTGCATATCTTCAGATAATAGAATACACCATTGGAGATAAATCTATATAAGGTTGCTTTATTCTTGAAGAGCTTGCAATATGCTGCTGTCAAATTATTGCATATTTTTCAGAACAATATGCTATGCTGCATTCTAAACTCTATTCTCAGAATCAATATTCCATTTAATATATAAAGGACTTGTTTATCAGTTATTTTCTTGTTTTTGAGAACTCTTATAACAGTA